CACACACACACACACACACACACACAGGTCATCAGACTGTTAGTGTAACGTTGTGATCAAATAAAGTGACCACAGACGGTGAACTAAGAGGGCGGTGCTGCAGGAGCCGCTCACAGTGAAGGATCATGGGTAAAAACTCCTCATCAGTTTTCACTCGATTCAACATTAATGTCTCTGTAATGGAATGTTCTGGATCACTGACGACACCTGAGCAGGTGTCACGTGACTGTAAACGCTGCCGCTCTGGTCCTGTTTGACCTCTGACCCATGTGACTGGTGATGAAGATTCATGGGTGAAAACTGGGAGAAGTGATTGGTCCAGTTCAAAACAACAGATAATGATGACAATATGTTTCTTTATCAAACTCCAACAACATCAACTCAAATCAACGTCTGAATCCCAGGTTAAACCCGACTCCACTGCTGTGTCCATTCAGTGATAATGTCCAGGCCGACTGGTCATCACAACACAAAGGTCACTGAGGTCAACTGTGGACCAGTTCTCGTCTGTGCTGCTAAAACAGAACAAATCTGAGTGGATTCTTTACAAACACCAACCACCTGAAATCAACCATTTCCAGACTTAGAGCTCAGTCAGTTTCCAGACCTGTGGTGGAGTCTGTTGTTGTCTATTAATAATAATAATAATAATAATAAGACATTGTATTTATAAAACACGTTCATCAAAACAGGAGATAACAAATCAAATCAATAAGGCGGGTGGAGAGGTGACAGTCAGGTGAGACCAACTGAAACAACCGAGTTCTGAGCGGGAACGTTGGGGTAGACAGACGGTGTGGAGGGGACGGTGTCTGAGGAGGAGCAGCGGGAACAGGAGGACGGAGGGATCTGAACGGTTCTGAAGATCAGCCCAGATCAGGGTTTGTTTTTGTTTTGATTCCCCAGTCACGTGACACGGGGCTGTGTTGTGTGTTACCTTGCAGGGGAACGGCAGAGTGGACGCCACTTTCTCCATGGCCAGGTTACGGATGCTGGGGGACAGCGGGCCTCGACAGGTGGGGCAGCAGCTCAGCTTCTGGCGGCACTGGTTACAGACCAGGTGACCCGACTGGCACTGCAGTATGGGCGGCAGGACGTAATCGAAGCAGACCGGACACTCGAACAGCGCCGTCAGCTCCGGTGGCTGCCCGGGCAGACCGGCCGAGGACAGCGTCACGGCGACGGCGGTGGATGGAGCGACAGACCCCGACCCGGCGACAGAGTTCTCGGCAGCGGTAGCAGCCGCCGCGGCGGGCGCCCCCCTCCAGAGCTTCCGTGTTTACCTCCCCCCGCTTTCCCGGCTCCGAGCCCTCCTCCGGCTGAGGACGGGCGGCTCATGACTTCGAGCTGCGGTTCGTTCGCTGCGTGTTATGGAGCCGCCGCAAACATCCAGGTTCAGCTTCCGGATTATCCTCCTGCTCAAAACACAACATGGCGGCTGTCAGTTTGTATGAACGCTGCCGGCCGCCATTGGCTGTTACGTCATGGAGTGACAGGAGGCTCAGCCAATGGAAACACAGAGGATCATTACATCAGATTTTGTAGTAAAACGGATGATGTGACGAGTTGAAACCTGAAGTCTGAGTCTGTGACGGACTGTTTTCGGTTGTTTTGTGTAAAAATAAACTTTCTATTGAATTGTGTTTTTAAATAAACAGTAGTTTTTATCGTACATGTTTAACGTCGTTATTTCTTAAGCGTTAATGTCACCACCATACGAAATACTACGACCTTCAACGACAGCATGTACCACAGCGGTAACTGAATCTGTGGTGACGTCAGAAAACAGAGCTTCCATCTCTACCGTTAACACTTTAACCCCCTCTAGTGGAGGATCTGTGGATATCACTCCTACTTTTTTACCACGTCACATCATTCTCAAGCTCAACGATGATGACGAAGATGATGACGATGATGACGAAGATGATGACGATGATGACGAAGCACCAAAGACATCGTTGCGGTTCGAGGAGGTGAAACCTAAGAGTTTGTGTCTCAGGAGGAAAACAAGAACTTAAAAATGTGTTTGTTTTTAAAAATTTAAAACGTGTAAACCTGCTGCCAGCAGTAACAGACCACAGACCACAGACCTCCGTGGACACCTGGACCAGGTCTGAGTTCTACTGACAGAAGTCAAAACAACCAGATCACGACCACATCCTCCTTTAGATTCACAGGGTTTGAAAAGTCGGCTTGATTTGGGTTTCTGTCCAAACCAACCTCTCCTGGAGGAACAGAACCTGACTGTGGAATCAAAACACTGGCTTAGTTCTGACCGGGTTCTGGGCGACTGTTGGCTGGTCCGGTTCTGGTCCTGGTCCCACCACAAAGGCTCTCACTGTCACTGTTTATCAGTGCAGTCACACAACACTGGAAAAGTCAGGACTGGACTGGTTCTGGTACCTGGTTCAGGTTCTGTTCTGATCAGATATATATCTCCTGCCCCTCCCCCACCCATCACCTCCACCTGACAGGAGGTTTTTTCAGTGTCCATATTTAAAGACCACTGCACCACAGCAAACCCAGGAGGCTGCACCAGCAGCTGCTCCCTCCTCCCCCTCCTCTCTCTCCTCCCTCTCTCTCTCTCTCTCTCTGTCCCCACAGACTGTGCTGCTGCTGCTGCTGATCACAGTGTGATGATCAATAATCAGCATTGATCACAGTGATCAGCTGAGGATGAAGCTCCTCTGCACTTCTCTGCTGCTCTTCTTCCTCACATCAGGTAAAAAAAACTTTGGCTCATTTTTTCTGTGACTTTATTTATTTAACGTATGGTTTTAACTCTGACATTCTTTTAAACAACTGTGTTATAACGGTGACACCTGACGACTGTCAGTCAAACTTTGACAACAACAACCGAACAGAGACGACTCTTCTTAACGTCCACTTGGAAACAGAACCTTTGATTTGGTCCAGAGTTGGTGCTGAGTTCACTGACGGGTTCTGAAGACGACATTCTGTTTCTGCTCAAGTCCGTATTTGACCAAGTTTGGTCACGGCAGCGTCCGCTGACCTTATCAGTGACCGCCAGGCGTCGACACTCGTGTCAGACGTGGGCGTTCAGGATTTCACTGTGTCTCCGTGACAAAGACTTTACAGTCACTGCTGCTGAGAAGGAAACCTGTTAGTGTCAGAACCAGGGGACGACCGAGCCCATGGTTCTACTGCCCTGGTTCTGGTCAGACTCTGAACAGAGGAGAACGTTGGCACCACCTGCTGGCTGATTCACACACTTACGTACCTGAGAGTCTTGGGAGTTGTAGAAAAAACCCTCAGTTTCTCTGTGGTCATCACACACACACACACACACACACACACACACACACTCTCTGCCAACATTCCTCTGTTTGGCTGACCCGCCCTGTTCACACCAGCAGGTGGCCTGAGCGGTCACATGACCTCTGTCGTCTGGTCAGTTGGTGTGGATCGGTCAGAGACTCCTGGACCAGAGTCCTGGACCAGAGCCTTCATGTCAGAGAAGACAACTCTGTCTGTCCACCGTCCACTGGTCAGGACTGGACACCATATAAGGATGAGAATGTGTGTGTGTCTCCAGTCCCTGTGTGTGTACGTGTTCTCGTTTAAACAAAGATCAGTGACGGTCAGTGACGGTCAGTGACGGTCAGTGACGGTCAGCACCGGCGCCTTCATTCAGACGTTTAAATAAATCAAATGGAACCCTAGTGGTGGTCTGTGGAAGTGCTCTTTAATCTGTGGCTGCTTCACCGTCTCTGTCTCTGAGTGACCTTCATACACAGACACGTTAGACCAATCACAGAGAGAAAACAGACAGCCCCCCCCCCCCCCCAACCGTCCAGGTTATAAAGGTTCTTTACCCAGAACCACCACCTGTGGACCGACAGATGACGTCAGACTTTCCCATCTTTGTAGAAAGAATGTTAGGACTTTACGGTGTAAAAAGAGTTGTAAACAGGAAGTCAGCTCCCTCTCTCTCTCTCTCTCTCTCTCTCTCCCAGGCTGCTCGGCTGCTCACGGACGTTTCGCCCAGAAGCTGCTCAGAGACCTGTTCTCCAACTACACCAACGCTCTGAGGCCGGTGGAGGACACCGTCCACATCATCAACGTCACACTTCAGATCACTCTGTCTCAGATCATCGACATGGTGACCCCACACACACACACACACACACACACACACACACATCGTTAATGCTCTGGTTGTGTGTGCGTTAACGTTCGTTTGTCCGTCCAACAGGACGAACGGAACCAGATTCTGACGACGTACCTGTGGATACGGCAGGTGTGGATGGACGCCTACCTCACCTGGAGGAAGGAGGACTACGACGGTCTGGACACCATCCGTATACCCAGCAGCTACGTCTGGAGACCGGACATCGTCCTTTACAACAGGTAGGGATCCCTCTGACCCCTCTGACCCCTCTGGTCCCTCTGACCCCTCTGGTCCCTCTGGTCTCTGACTGTCCTCCCGTTCTTCTCCCCACTGAAGTGCAGACGACCAGTTCTCCAGCTCCATGGAGACCAACGTGGTTCTCCAGAGTGACGGTCAGGTCACGTGGGACCAGCCGGCCATCACCAAGAGCTCCTGCTCCGTGGACGTGGCTTTCTTTCCCTTCGACCTGCAGCAGTGTGCCCTGACCTTCGGCTCCTGGACTCACAATGGAAACCAGATGGATTTGTTCAACGCCCTGGACAGTGCGGACCTGTCCGACTTCGTGGCCAACGTGGAGTGGGAGGTGGGCAGTTTGGGGACTGAAGACCTCCGTCACAGTGTGGTTCGTCGGCTCCTTCACGTTTGTTTGTTTTTTATTTCCTGGTTCACCAGGTCCTGGGGATGCCTGCCAAGAAAAACGTCATCCTGTACGGCTGCTGCTCGGATCCGTACCCGGACATCACCTTCACTCTGCACCTGAAGAGACGCGCCTCCTTCTACATCTTCAACCTCCTCGTCCCCTGCATGATGATCTCCTTTCTGGCTCCTCTGGGCTTTTACCTGCCGGCCGACTCGGGTGAGAAAGTCTCCCTGGGGGTGACGGTGCTGTTGGCCCTGACTGTGTTCCAGCTGCTGGTGGCCGAGAGCATGCCGCCGTCGGAGAGCGTCCCTCTCATAGGTGAGCTGTCGTACCAGGAGAAACACCTGGTGTCTGCACCTGGTACCTGGTGTCTGTACCTGGT